GCGGACCGCTGCTGCCACCGCTGCCGCAACAACCCGTACGGGCCCGCGTCCACGCCACCGCAACGTTCCGACGCGGCCACTTCTCCTTCCGACGCGGCCGCTTCTTCTTCCGTCCCGGCCGCGGCCGCGTCACCAGCCACTTGCCGTTTGCCCGGCACCGGTCTGGCCCATCCGCGGCCGTCCGTGCCCAGAACGTACCTGCGCCACAATCGAACGTCGGTGCTCGTCGAAACCGTGGTTCTGTACGCGGTCCGAGTGCGCGTAATTTTAAACCACGGTGGCTCGTCGACATGCCGTTATAATTATTTTTAGCCGAATCACAATCCGATCGCGGTGGTGTTTCCCATATCACAACCGATGATAGACGCGGTACAGTTAATGTATTGAATTCCGTTGTCTTACGAAATAACTGGGTAGTTCGTGAATCGCCTACGAATGTTAGTTTAAGTATGAAATCATACATGAAAGTTATACTTTGACTAGTTACTTACGTAGAATATCTAGTTGTTCTATACAATTTTAGTTTGATACATGTTAGCGTACAAAATATATTATAACGTTTTACGTGTTTTAAGTTTAACCGATTATTTATTTGTACACGCGAGGCTATTGTAGAGACAGATGAACGCGTGTGACTGTAAGACTATTGCAAAAACCTTACCGATTTCATTGACAATCTTAATAATAATACGTGTACAACGATAATTTTATCTAGACGATAAACGTACACGCGGACACTTTCATCGCCGACAACAAGAACGGCAGTTTTATCTGATTTATTGCTGCGATGGACATTAAATTAACGATATTGTACACGCATGCATACATCGATTTGACACGTTAACGAAGTGGTGCTAGGGAACGTATAAAATAACTAGTTAATGTATAAATTATATGCATTACCTACACGTTTTAGTTGATAACTGATTCAATACTTTAACTGCACCATACACATCTAAGGACCATTTCTTCTGATATTTTAACCAATAAGTTTTTTCAAAAGTAATGATTTATTTGAAAATTTTCTACCTTAAATTTTTTAGCAGTAAATAATATAGTCCATCATCAATAATTGTGTATGATATTTTTTGTGTTTTGTACATTAATTTTGTTCATTAGATACACGTTGTTTGGTAACATAAATTTTATATTCTAAACGGTTAACGAAACGAGCAGTTTTAGCATGCAATTTTTACTAATAAGTAATAAATCGAATAACAGCACTAAGTCCATCATTAGATAAGTACTTAGTACTTAGCTATGTAAATATTGACAGTCTAATAATATAGACATTCAGTTCCTATTTCCTGTTGTCGTAGAACAATATTATTAATCGTGTAGGGTCCGCTTTCTAGTGTCATCGATGTATTTGTACTGTCGCATAGATGCGAAATGTGATTTGGCTTAAATAATGAGTTAACGGCATATCGAGGAGTCACCGTGACACGATTTAAAATTACGCGGTCCAGTGCACGTCGTGTTCAACACGAGTGTTCCGACGAACTTGACACCGAACACGTACTTTTCGAATACATTTTTTTCGCCAAACGAAACATTCATCGATAGGTACCGTTTATTACAACGAACTCCTTATCGGTATGCGCAAAGCGATGTACGTGAAACGAAAAGCAACGGATCTCAACCCCATATTGGTTTCGCATTAAAACAAAAAAAAACCATCCTTAAACCGATCATTATGTGGTCGATAAGAATGTTTGGGTACCGTCCAACCTCGTATCGACCGACAAAATTGTGCGTTTCTCTGAATACGTTCAACAAATAAATCAGAAACAATTGGTTTAAAAAATACATTTATTTTTAATAATCGTATGACAATTAACGTTTACAAAAACTATCCTGTCAAACCGTCAACAAAGGCGAAAAGTTTTCGACCGATCGTGTCGATATTGGTAATAATTAAAAACTCTCAACTACTCCCGTAGTTATATATCGTTGAAGCATTGTAAATGTTCCGTCGGTTTTTATTAAAATATCTGTTCATAACTTTTATCGTTAATATTATATTGTATTTATATTATGTAAATTTTTCGAAATTTACGCAGTAACATAAATAATCAATAAAAAAACTTTTGCAGGAAGTGTATTGTCTGCAGCAGGTTATATAGTATTTAATCATAAAATATAAAAAATTAAGTTGTACTGAGATGTACTTGTGCATTTTCATGAACTTTACGAGCGACGAGTGCATCCTCAACATTAAATTAGTTTCAAAAGATTAAATTATTTTCTTGAACAACATAGTGTTTAAAAATGATTGTGATTCCACCAATTAATATTATTACCGGGTTTTTTAAATATTATTATGTACTTTTTAAGAAGCAAGTCTTATGTAAACAAAAGTCGTAAGTTCGAATCGATAATAAAATCATGCCATATGTATTGTATATTAAACATTTGAAAAACTTTTATTGTTGTTTTATAATAAAACCAAAAGAAAAAAGAATTTTAAAAATAAAGAACCGTACAACATTGTAAAACTTATAACTCTCTGATCCACTCAAATCCGAGGAATGAAACATTAGTAATGGGAATTTACTAAGTTATAGCTGAAACTGTTGTACGACAGGGTCGTTTAAAAAACATCAAATATACAGTATGGCTTCACATTAACAATGGACTGCAAATATATACTACATTGTAATCAAATTTGGGTCATGTTTATATGTATTATATTCAATTAACCCTAAGCTGTAATATGGCTGTCGTCGAGTTCATCATTTGTGTAAATAATTGTATTAAAGGATATTATCATAAAATATTAAACCGGTATTCAATAATATGACTTCATTACAAATGTGCCGTCCAAAACTAACTATAAAACTAAAAAATAAATATTTTATATTTAAAACATCTTTTATCCATATTAATAGACAATTTTAACTAATCTGTTGATAAATATAATCGTGAGAAAAGAATTCGTGAAACTTTTACAGAACACGAACATTGCACAAGACAGTTAAATCGAAAAAAAACTAATAATTATTTATCTCATAACTTAGTTAGGTAAATAGATCTTATTTGAATCACACAATCTATAAATTGTGTACAATTTACACGATAATTTATGAAGCTGTACGTAAAGTATTTGAATTATTAAATGTACCTATTACACTTAATGATATTATACTGATAATAATAATATTCAAAAGATATCTCAATAGTTTTCATTTTTCAAAAATAATTTTCGTAAGACCAAAAAAATACAATATTATCTCTGTGATCAGAAGTAATTATACCTATTAATGTCTTGTAATTATGAAAATTATTCAGTTCTACTCAAATTCGTCAAACTTGTCACTATCTAATACTTATCAGCAAACAATATTGTGGTACATTTCAACCGTTTACAGTATAAATTAATACTATTTACTTTATCTTTTTCATGAGGTCGTGCAACCGCTTTGTTGTTGAGTATTTAAATTTCCCTTCGTAGTAAAAAATTCTGATTTGCGGTAACATTTTAGCGTACAAATAACCTCCGATCGCATCGGCTACCATCACCATTGCGCGTTTCCTTCCGACCGCCGAATGAATTTTATCAATGGACCTCTTTATGGAAACGAAGTAGTCCAGGAAATCATTTTCATTTTCCGGTATCTTTGTTGGGATCAACGATCCAACCAACATTCTACCCTGAAGTTCAAAGCTTTCGGTGTCGGTCCATTTCCTTCTGATATCCGATATCGTGTATAGGGTGGTGCCTTGTTCCACGTCTTGTTGAGTACAAATAACGAACACATTTATATTGAAAAGGACGAAACACGCACATATGAAAATATTATTAGACATATTATCAAAAAATACAACAAATCACGTTAAAACAAGTGTTATATGATGTAATATAATTTAGATGATTAGAAAAATCGTTGTTTTAGCGATCGTATCCAGTGCACTTTTCAAACAAGTTACCTAGGCGACACAAATGTGGTCCAGCTAAAACAGTTTCTAGATTAGTTAATAGTATTTTGAAAGACTAAAGGAACAATTGATTGTCAAAAGATTTTTTTTTAAATTATGTAATAAAAATAATTAGGTAATGCACAATACTGTAGATAATACAATATATTTTCATGTTATCGATAGTTACTTTTTCTATTAGTATTAAGATTTATTTTTAATAGTTATGTGAAATAGATGATACACCATCATATTGATATACATGGACAATTTTTAAGAAAAATGATTTGCAACTCAGTGAAAATTTCTTAAAAAGTGCACTCACCGTATCAATTAACAGATTATTTTTTTCTGTTACAATATAATATATTATTTATTATTTTTACATAAATTTTATTAAGTCAATATAATATTATAATAGATTTATATAAAAAAAAAAATAAATAAAAATAAAAGGTTGAATGAATTGTTTAAACACTTCTATTTTCCAATTTGTATTTTGTATTTTCTGAAATAGAAATATTACTCATCGTTTTTTATTATTGTTATTTTTCTAGTATAAATACACATATTTTTAATATTTATAATTCTAATGGCAATATAGTATTATAATAAATCACAAGTAAAATAACAGCTTATTTTTAAATGAAGAAAAAAATCACTTTAATGAAATTATAATCTTTTCAACTAGTTGTATTTTTACGATAGTAAAAATTTGTTTCAGCGATGTTCAAATTGAATCAAGTTTAATCAAAAATAATTACATTTTTTAATTACTCTGTATAATCCAATTACTGTTCAGCCGTCAATACTTATTTATTCTGTATTAATATGTTTCATTACGAAATACATTTTTATTGACTTTTCAATCTTCATTAGTATCAAAATTAAATCACTTGAAGTCTATGTTTTATGAATTATAATCGAATAATAAAATGTGTATGAGGAAATGTGTTAATTTCAAAAATATTTTAAAACTGTAAAAACACCGAAAAGTTATTTTTATTTTAAAATTTGGAAAGTTAAAAAATAATTAATTAAATTAAACAAATACACTGGTTTTATTGTTGTTAATTTTATAGGTAGATTTAAGACACGCGAATGAAGTCATCGGTTCACGGGTTGTAGATGTCGGTGTTGACTTATCCGAATTTTATGCTTCTGTTGAATGGGATATTTTAGAGGTTCCTGCAATAAGGTAAGCCTTTTGAATATTATAATAAAAATCATACTCGGTAGCATAGTTTTATTACATTGTTCTTTATTTTGCATACACATTATGATTGGAATTATTATATAGCACTTGTTTAAGACCGCATTGTTTCTACATTATTTTTTATTAAATATTTAACGATTTTAATCGTACGTTGTACAATTTATTCTATAGTATTAAACCTTAGGAGAGTAAACGATTTAGTAGTATTTGGTACTATGGATTTTGGTATTTGTCTTAATGTTGTGCTTTGAAGTTTAAGTTCTTTCTTTAACTGGAATTTTATTCCTATCGTTCATTCAATTATATTCAAAAATTAGTAATATGAGTATATTCAGACAGAGAAAGATTGTGGTGCATCAAAAAAATGTTTAATTTTAAAATGTTTCGAATATTTAGATTTCGCATTTGATAAAACTTTTTTTATAAGAAGAAGAGATATTAAGATTTTATATATAAACAATTGTCTGATATTTGTTAGATTAAATATATATACCAACAAAACTTGATATTGAATACTTAAGAAAATTCAGAGAATACGGCTCACGTAGGTACGTAAGTATTAGGAATGTTATTTATACACTTCTTTATATATACCTATATAAATAGATACAATTTTTACAATTTAATTATAATAATTGATATATGTAAATTATACAATACAGATATATTTGATAAGATAAATTTCTGGCAAAATCATAATTTATGTTCATAATGAATTTCATGTGTATTGTTCGGTTACCATTGTACGTTTGATTTAAAGCCATTTTCAGACCAGGCAAACTATCAACTAACATTATAATTTCTGGCTATGTATCGGTTATGTATTGAATGCAATAATATTTCGAATGCGATTTCATCTAATTCATTATTTATTACATCGTATTCGATTGTTCGAGTGTGTTTTTCTTTTTTTTTTGTCGATTAAGAATTGCTATTGCTTACGTTGCAGAAATGAGAAATATTATACTTGCTGCGAAGAACCATATTTAGACATAACATTTAATATCACTATGCGGAGAAAAACACTCTTCTATACGGTGAATTTGATCATACCTTGTATGGGGATATCTTTTCTCACGATACTCGTGTTCTACCTTCCATCGGATAGCAATGAAAAAGTAAACAGTTGTATCAAAAATCACGTGTAACACTCTATGACGAAACGCAATTGTATTTCAGGTTAGTTTAAGTATTTCAATTCTCCTCTCGTTGACCGTGTTCTTCCTACTGCTAGCCGAGATCATTCCGCCCACGTCGTTAGTCGTTCCACTTTTGGGCAAGTTTGTATTATTCACGATGATACTCGACACGCTTAGGTAAACATTTCAACATTAACGTTATTGAACGTAAATTGTTCTTATTCTATCTAAAGAATCGATTGATTTTCAGCATATGTGTGACAGTTGTTGTGTTAAATATCCATTTCCGATCTCCCACTACACATGTTATGTCACCGTGGGTCCGCAGAGTATTCATCCACATTTTACCGAGAATGTTAATCATGAGGAGACCGCATTATCAAATGGAAAGGAAGAGGTAAGGGCTCTGTAAATGCGATGTGCAATGAATGCGTTCGAAGCGAAATAACGATCGTGTGTTGTTTAGTTTGATGGGAGCTTGTCATCGAATCATGGTAAGAACGTGTAACGGGCTTGAACTTGGGGATCAAGAGTCGGCCGATCAGTTACTTCAAGGCACCGATGTGTTTTCACCCAGGTGGTTTTATTTACTATGCTTTGTTCATTTGTTTTCGTTATCTAACGCCTTTAATGGTTCGTTTAGGGATTTAGAAAGTGGAATTATTGGCTGTTGCGAGATACACGGCCCAATAATAGCAGTGCCCAGTCCGTCCGAACTGAATCAAAAAGGTTCGATTCCCAAGGGCAAAAAACATTGGCATGACTGTCCAGAACTTCACAAAGCTGTCGAAGGAGCTGCGTTTATAGCAGATTATATCAAGAAAGAAGAAGAGGAGAAGAAGGTAAAAGTAAACTGTCGATTGACCTTGGTCATGCGAATGTCGAAATAATTGAATATTATAAATGTTATTTTTAGATTAAAGAAGATTGGAAGTACGTCGCGATGGTATTGGACAGGCTATTTTTGTGGATATTCACATTAGCTGTGACTATGGGCTCTGCGGGAATTATCCTGCAGGCTCCCACTTTGTACGACAATCGGTTACCAATCAATGTTCGGCTGTCGGAAATACTGTCACACACACCAACAGTAAAACAAAATTATAATAACATTATGTAAAGATGATAATTGCTCAACGTGGTCAACATTAGACAGGCCGGTGAGGTCCGATACAGACCGATACGAGCGAACGGTAGAACACTACTACTGGTCTATGTATAGATTAACTTATAAAATGCGTGACAAGGGACCAACAATCGAGGACTGCTGGTCGTAATATGTATAATAGTGTCAATTTTGATATTAGATACTATTTTTATGTACTCGGAAATAGTGACGCAAATAGATAGATATTTTTAGATAATTCGTTTACAAATGAGATATTTACAAGCAGTTTATTAAAAACAATTGATAGGATAAGGATATTAATGTGAGAGGATGTTAATTTTTTCATTTCTGTAAAAAGCAAAATAATATAATAATAAAATTTATTTATAATTATACAAAGTAATAATACTACGTAGTTATGTACATAGTATTATATTATTAAGTTAAGTTGTGAAAAAAAATAAAATATATTTGTTGACGTTTATTTATGATGCGTTTAATTTGATCAAGTTGTAAATGAAACAATTTCACTTCGTCTTTGAACGAGTGATGTAATATAACATTAACACATATATGTAAAAGCGTGTAAATAAAAATGTGCCTAATATAAAATTTAATATTTTACAGTCATTTTCATCGAAACGACTAAAAATTATTTACTTTCTAATATAAATCAAATAGTGTTCGGTATTTTAATAACATTTATACCATGTGATTAATAATTTTATGATAAAACTTCGATGTCCACCCGGTGTTTATTTTAACAGTCTCGATTGTCTGGTTGATGGTCAAATCAGCTCCTTTTAAGTAAGCAGATGATTTGCTAATAAATGTATTGAGCTGTAAAATCCAATAACAAATTATAAATAAAACTTTTCTTGTAAAAAAAAAAAAAAAGAAAAAGAAAAAATAGCAAATTCATTAATAATATACCTCTTCTAATTCTTCTTTTGTTTTCATTTGAGAGCCTATAACTTTTACGTATCTACCGACACGGTCACCTCGCGGTTGGAAACTAAAAAATTAAATAAAAAAAAAATGTATTTTGATTGTTATACGCAACATAAGTAACATAATATCATCTTGTAATTGTCTATGGTCGATTAGGTATTTTCGGTTACTAATACATTTTTGTCGAAGAACATATTGTATGTTAAATTTATAATAAATAAAAAAGATTAACCAATAAATAAATCAACCTACTACTCAGATATATCCGCAATCTTTCGATACAAAAAGTCCTTTGCCACGTAATATCCTATGTCGCTGCTTGCTATGGAATAGAAAACCGTTATCGCGTCTTGCTTGCGAATAATGGCGTTTTCTCCGATCGTCCAATTCAAATATCTACAGTAAAACAATCGTGCATATATATTACCGCCGAAACATTTTCCTGCGAGATTATCATAAACAATTACTAACCTGTTCAATAACCACGTTTCCGAACTGCAACCTAATGATGAGAGTAATTTTGCTTTTTCAGACCCGACATTAGAGCGTTGATAACGTTCCCATAAAAAGTCCCATTCCTCCGCACCACCGGCTTTGATCGCTTGACAGTAAATGATGGTTTTCAGTTCTCTAGGCAATCTGATATATTTCGATTACGATTTGTATTTAATTCGACTCGATAATTACTCACATGTTATTAGTATCTGGGTCATTTGTTTTCATCCACTGTTTGAATAACGCTAACGCTTGTTCAGTGCAGTCCTTTATTTTGTGACGGCAAGCTTGAGCAATCACGAGATTTTTAAAACGTATTTCTTCGAACCCATCAAGTTCAACGGTCATATTTCCGAATCTTTTGTACAAATTTGCCAGCAAACGTTGCATATAGTTCTATAACGAATTGCAATATTTATTTGTACACCATCTGAAGGAACAAGAACAAAAAGTTTAAAAAAAATAAAAACAATATTTTTTCTCACTTGGAATAACCCTTGGTTCGGAGTCCTCTTCATTAATTGATTGATCGGACCTAGACCGCCCAGGGCGGCCAACCACGGCACGTACTCTTTTTCGTGTTTTAAGTATTTTAACAGTTGAAATGTAATTCCGTAATCCAATTCGCCGATTTGCGAAAAGCTAAACGCGTCGTCGATTAACTGCACTCGATTCAACGTGGGTATGGTTTCGAATTCATCAGGATTATTTAACAAGGTTATGATACCCATCCAGTTGCGTGTATCGTACGAGACTCTGTACAAACCTTTAAAAAGAATATGCAACGTTGTGAGCTATCGCAGAATATTCTCATGCAACTCACCGGCTATTTGCATGTTGAATATAACCCACTCGTCATCTATTTCCAACGGAATTGTGTAATTCTTGGTGTTACAATTCAACCACGATTCTGCTTTTGTCTGGCTAAAATCGGCCACCGAAGAGGTTGTCCACGTGAGCGGTATCCACCAACAGCTCTTCTTATCCGTACTATTCGGTTGAATCGTCAGAAACCGTTCCTATCGAATTACCAACACAATGCGATGCAAATTAATGAACATTGAACCGGAACGGGCGGCGTTTTGCAGCACCTATACCTGTTTCAATGTAACTGATCCAGCAGCGTAATCCCGGACGACTTTCAACACGGGATAGCCCGTCTGCAACGTCCACGTGTCCATGATCTCTTTCACTGTTATGTTTGGATCCAAACTCCCCTCTTTGTGAGCTTCTTCCGTTAATGAACTCCACAGGTCGTCTTGCTCTGCGTTGGAAAACTTGTGTTTGTCAATGTAATTTCGAATACCTTGTTTGAACGTTTCTTCGCCTAGGAACGTGTTCATCATGTGCAGTAAAAATGACCCCTTTGTGTATGATATAGTGTCGAAAATCTGAGCTATTTCATCGGGGTGTCCGACCGTGACCGACACGGGATGCGACGATTGAAGTGAGTCCAGGTCCAAGACTTGTAAAAAGTTTTGTACGTTTTCCAATTGGAAAGAATTCCACTCCGGGTATAACTGAACAAAATATCATTGTCATTTTACAACGAAAATAAATAGACGGCAAACTAATCAAACTAATCATCAACTGTATCCGATAACTATTAAACTTACGTAGTCCACACCACGAGCTGCAACGTACGTGGCAAATCCTTCGTTTAACCAAAGGTCGGTCCACCATTTCATCGTAACGAGATTGCCGAACCATTGGTGAGCTAGTTCGTGAGCGATAACTTCGGCTACTCGATGGATATTATCAATAGTAGCAACGTTTGGATCAATCAACAATGCCGTTTCTCTACAAAATCAATTTTAAATAATTTTAGAATTCCGTTGATTTCACGAAATCCGAAGACTAAAAATGTATTTAAAGCTAGCGTTCATCAACTAATTAAAATACTGGAAAATCGACAATGTATATTTATAATTTGACACTACATTTTTTTCTTCGAATGATAAACAAATACAACATTATAATTTTTAAAATTATTTATGACAGTTTATTGTCGCATCCACTTAATGAAATCGCTCATTTAATGAAATTTATTCATTTAGTGAAATTGACGTTTTTCTACACTTTATAGATAATTTTTTAACTTTTTCATGAAATGGATAAAAGTAATTTTACCTATCAAACTAAACAGTGATAGTAAATCTACATATTTGTCAAAAACCAGAATTCCGAAGTAAGTACTATTTTTGTATTTTTGAATATTTATTTAGCTTTATGTGGGCTTATTTACCAAAAACTTTTAGTACGCAACTTTAAATACTGCATTTGAATGATAAATAAATAATTCTCTAGATATATGTAGATAACAACAAACATTTTAATTTACCTATTTATTTATCTTTATCTATGTTTACCTATTTTTATAGTTAAAATGTTTTTAATTAGTTAAATTCTTATATTTTAGTTTTAGCATCTTCGATATCCTTAATCATTTATATTTGTTATTCTTTATTTAACGGTTTTTTCTTTGGCTTTGTAGTGTAATATTCTAGTAACTTCTCATAAAAAGTTGTCCATGATATCTTTTACTACTCAATTATTAAAGATTATCTGATATTATACAATAATTTTAAATCGTTTGATAAATTTATATTAAATAATTAATCGATTGACAATTAAATCAGTTTGTATTATACAATACATATTTTACAAAATGAGCGATTTCGCTAAGTGGACGTGACATATATGCAACATAATACTAAGTGATCATATTTTAATTGAGAATTCATTAATTACATTAAAAAATATTTACTCTAAAATTTTTATTTTTTATAAGCATTTTAAGTTTAGAATACTTTTTTAATCAATCTCTATCCAGAATATTTTTTTGATTTTACGAGTATATTATTCTTTAATTTGAAATTATAATATTATATTAACTCATAGTAACAAAGTTAACCAACATTTCTCAAAATTAAATGTCATTATTATATTTTATTTATAAAGTAAACATTTATTATACTCGTAGCTTGCTTATATTATTCTTGTACATCACTATGTATGTTAATTTCTCGTTAGGTTGTTGCAAAATGAATATTCAAAGATTATTTTTATTTCCAAATTTATTTCCCAAAATGAATCTAAAAATCCTAAATTACTAATGTCTTACACTCAACAAAAATGTCGAATTAATTATTGACCGTACTCATCAAACACTTCATTTTAAAACAATATGATTTTCAGCACAATACATTTAATTATAATTGATTATATATGATGGGTAATTACATCTGGAGAAATATGTAGGTGCATGAAAAAAAACGTTATATTATAACACCGGATTGATTTTCCTACAACTCCGAGTTATAAACTAAATTATATCAATGATATAACTCATTACTATTACGACGTACCTATAGGTAACGAGACCCCAATTTTCCATAGCGCCGGCAGAGAAGTCCGGTATGGCCACCATGTCCTGTTTGGACAGTGGGAACTTTTCGTCGAAGTAATCCTCGTAGTATTTCAAAACCAACGGTCCTGCGTTCTTGGCGAGTTCGGTCTGGCCGATGGCATCTTTTCTGGCTACTATTCTGAATTTCACTTCTTCCTCTGGATTCTTCGATTCCACGTAAGCGAAATCCGATACCATGTACGCCACTAAATAAGTGGACATCGGCACGGACTCTTCGAACTCGTCGATGACGTAGTCCGGATTCGAAGGCCTATGAACATGCGACACGAACGTAAAAAGCTTAGAGCCAAATCGTTAAGGCCCAATAGAGGCTGCTTACACAGGACTTACATAGGCGTGGACTTGAGCAGTCGCATGTTACTGACCGACGTCAAATGTTTTCTACGGCCTAGTCTTATTTTGAAAGTAGCTTTCAACGCGGGTTCGTCGAAACACGGGAAAGCTCTCCTGGCATCGGCCGGTTCGAATTGGGTCACTGCTAGCCACCTGCAACACAACGATAACGTTTTTCATTGGTAACGCGCGCAAACAGTAACAGTTACGCCGGGCCAACGGACCTCGTTTGATTTGTCTCCTTGTCGACGTAACTACTCCTGTAGTAACCGACCAGATCGTCGGTAATGTTTCCCATGAACGGTACGGTCAGCACGTATTCGTTGCCGGGCTTGAATTTCTCGGCACATTTAACGTGCATCAGTTCGGTTTTGGTAACGAACCCCACACCGGTGACCGGGACTACCTTTCCCCCGCCGTCGGACACCGCGACGCCTTTGGTGTCGATGTTCAGATTGTTCGAATGCAACACCACGGTGTTGGTGGCTTTCAAACAGGTTATCTAGAAAAAAAAACAATCAAACCGTAGGTCAAAACGCGGTGTTCGAACGCAAGTCGTCGTACGCTTACTTTTATATCGACTACCCCTTCGAACGTGAACTTATTCTCTAAATGCGTGGTCACATCTAACCGATAGCTGATGGGTTTGAACGTGGTCGGCAGTCTGTACTCTGGAACTTCTTGAGAACGTGCGAACGCCGCTCCCAACACGAGGAACAACGCGACGGCAAATCTCATTTCAACGTATCCTCTAAACTCCATTCTACATTAATGTTAAATACGTATACGCTATTCGTTATTACACATTTTACTGATGCTCGACATTCCCTTTGATTAAAATATACGCTGGTTTAATGGTACATGCATATCGAGAAACGCCGAACGGTGACTATAACAATACCGTCATAACGATACCCGATTCGGTAATAAAATCACTTTTACTAATACAATACTTAAATAATATTCATTCCGATGATGAAAACAATAACGGCTTTAATAATATATCTTATACAATATAATGTTTTAGATTTTTTTTTTTTTTTTTAATATTGGTGTATTTGGCAGATCGTCGAAAAACTAGTTTTATAACACTAAAATGAGTCTCATATGTAGTTATTTCACGTATTATTTATTCGTGAACCGACCCACAATGGTCTATAATTGAAAAAAGATGGCCAAAAATGTTTATTTGTAACAATTACATTTCAAAGAGTGACCAAAAATATTTAAGTGATTTAATATACACAAACGATATTTCGTCAAAATTAAATGTATTTAAAACTAATTTCAATGCACTGTTTTTTTTTTCTTGTAATGAACCAGACATATTGTTAACAATAATATATTCATAGCCGTCAAATAGAATGATAACAGGTTTAAGAGCCATATTATACGTCACGGTAAATCGCCACGCACACACAAATTAAATTTAAAACTTACTAATATATTAAAATGTTAAAGAAATAACAAAAAATTGACAAAAATATAGTTTATTAAAAGTACCAAGAAGATGGCTAAAGGCAGACAAGGTTGCCGATCGCTCGCGGCGGTCGGTACACCATCCGCGAACGCTTCGTGATACATCGCCGTTTCCGTTATTTTAATCAATCGGGTGTCCTGAATGATAATCAAACGTACGATGATACCAAGGCAAAGGGGTGTGACGGGTAATGTCGCGGTATCCGTGAAACACGATCGTGTCATAATGAATAACACTGTATCGAACGCACGAATACAACTATTCAAGTATATCATCGATTTCATAAACATGTTAAATTCAATAACGTCTTATCGAAAGTAGAATAGATATGAGAAACTATTCTACACATAAACGTTTTCGATATATTATCTAATTTTATTGTATGTACATATGAGCGTGACTATCGTTGACTAAATAACTTAAAATTGTAAAAGTCCTGATTACTTATAAACAGTCTATCAGTAATTAATTGAATTCAACGACCTACAAAGTCGTACACATAGCTTTATGTCATAATAATAAATATAAATATTTGACAGCATATATATACAATATAATATATCCAAAGATAAGATTAATTTTAACTAAGAGTCGTTTAAAATTGACTAATAATTAGTACAAAATTAATGATATTTTTTAATAAAAAAGAAACATTTTTCAACATAAATACAGATTTGGCATAAGTAAAAATGAATATTTTTAAAAAAAATTTTATAATGTAAAATTCTAAAAAAAATGTTTAATACATTTTTAAAACAAATTCTTTGAAATATAACTGTTACAAATAAACACTTTTGGCCACCTTTTTTCAATTTTAGACCACTGTGCGACCATAACTGATTAATTCAATCACCAAAAATTTGATGAGTCTTGGAATTAATAAGTTGTTAAAGAACGTTTATTAATTATTTAGGTAAACATCTTATTATTATTGTTCTTATTTTTGATTTTTTTCTTCTAAACGATAGTCATTACGATAATTTTGAACAAGCACACATATATAATGGTTAATACTTCCATTATCCGTTTTAATTAAGAGTAACATAAAATAAAAACGAAACAAAGAAGTTACAATACTAATGCCAAATTTATATTTATTTAATTTTTTTTTTTTTTTATCGCCTTCACCTACTTTGTTAAAGTTTTTCTCTGTATAACATCGATTTTAATAATTTATAAAAAAGGTAAATAAAAATATTAATTTTAGTAACTGTTATTATATGTATCTATGACATTTTAAAGTAGGTTTAATAATAATGTGGTTCAAAATGTCATGAAATACTATTATATATTTTTTTTTTAATGGTTTTAATATTTTTTATAAAGCATTCTCGACATCAATAACTTTCATAATGATATTTACTATAATATTATTTTTTTTCTTTTAATTTTAATTATTTTGAAAAATAAATAAGTACATATATTTTATTAATATTCACAAACATACGAATTTCATGGATAATAGTATCATTGATGTATCACAGATACTAGCCTAAGCTATAGTTATTCAAATAAAAATGAATGGTAAACAAAATTGAATTTAGGTTTAAATTAAATAACCGTTCATGTAAAGGCAATGAGAAATATTAATATTCTGTTTGTATTTTATTCGCGAGAAAGTTATAAAGTTATGAAATTCGCTTGTATAAACAGTGGCAAGTAGCCAAATAATTTAATTTTGACCTTGTAATATAATATTAAGATAAAAAATAAATAATCACAATTATTTCAAAATTGAGTTATTAGTTAAAATTCAAAATAGTGATATAAAATACAAGTTCTATCAGTTAAAATGTTGTTAAGATTATTAAGATAAATACATAAAATATTTCAGTAATACATTTTAATATATTAGTAATGAAGTCATTATGTATGACATGCTAAATATGAATAAAATCCTCGTAATTTATAAAAATATAATATTTCAATGACAATAAATTAATTTTTTAATACTTATAAAAAACAACCATTAAAAATGTATATATTCTCAAAGTTTGTCAGAGATAATCTAGCTTGAATTTTGAAAACTTAATTAAGCACTATATTTTTAAAAGAATAAAAGAGATTAAATAAAATCTCTGTAGAAGAATCCTATTAATACTGATAATACTGAGACTTAACTTTTGATTTCACTTTTTTTTAACTATGTATATTTTACTTAAAATGTATTTTTAATTTGCGCTGCTCCCAGAGAGTGTTTGTTTTTAACTCATAAGGATAAAATTTATTTTTGAATGCGAATTGGATTTAAGTATTGTGAAACATTTATGATATCCATTTTAGTTAAATTTTTGACAATATACATATTATGTATAACTTGTATTTTTCATGATTATATTTTTACTTTTAAAAAAAGATAAACATTTTTTTATTGGTTTTCTAGTCTCAAACAATAATCTTAGTTTTCAATCACGAGTGGAATATTTGTCTTAGTCATTTCAATAGGATTTCCGAAAAATTATACACTTTCATAAGGAAATCAAATACGTCAATTATATCTACAAGATGTTATTTTATTTATTTATCCCACCATTTGTTGTGAATTTACTTTCATATGGCAAAGAATATATTTTAAATCTCACCCGATTTAACGTTCTTAATATTTTCTTTGGAATCATTTAAAACCATTAGTTTATGCTAATCCACTGATTAATTTCTAGCATTAAAAGCAGAAAATTATCGAAACATGTGCACATCTGACTAATGAACAAACTACAATGGCTACTCAAGATGAAGTCAAACGTTTAGAAATATGTTTACAATATAATAAACAATTCATAAAATGATGATGAATATTTTTTGTCAAAAATTGTTTTAAATTAAAATTAAAACTAAACTTTTACGATTACTTAATAACCTTAGTAATCTTTACAATTTCTTCTTCCTTATACCCAGTTTTTTGAGATAGAAAAATAGTTTATTTATAAAAAATGCTAAAATAAATTTAATCTATTTGAATTTGCTATTAAAAATACCAGTTGCTATTAAAAAAAAAAAAAGTGCAAGTTGTGTTGTGAAAGAGCAAAACGAATGAATAAAACATTTTAAGATCAACAAAAAATGTGTATTTTTAGTAATCCTTATGATGAATCTTTTCCTGAAAACCTTATTTCAATCTGAGGTCGCTTGACAGGAATATTTCGTGTTACCATTTGTGTGAAATAATCTGTATAGTACTTATCTATATTACAACACTTATTACTTAAATTTCGCTATTTTTATAATTTCGACTTAAATAATTAAGTTAAATAAATTTTGGAGAAAGAAAAATGTTTAAATCATACAGCTTAAAACGCTTTTCTTGATCGGTAGGAATTAATTAATATTATCTTATAATAATAATAATAATAAGAAGAATTACTTGTGCCTTACCTGAGAGAGAGCATGTTTTGGTTTGACTGTAATCTGGTCACGATCGAGCCACTACTAAAATTAGCACCTACGCTGCCTAACAGGTTAAGTACACGCGGGTTGACGGTGAAAATACTAAACCGGTGTACGTTTAGAGGTCATGGACGAAATAATCGATGGTTAACAGTTACAAAACCGAGTGAAATGTTATATTTTATTTTATTATATTATTTTTTAGTTGTTCTTAAACTTTTACGGACGACCAGTTTTAAAAATATAAAAACTTTTATTATCCGATCACGTCGAGCATGAAGTAGAGAACAGAACGGTTCATATCGACTAATATAATATGAAAATTAAACGGTAAGCTATTATGATAAACTGCAGCAAAAAATGGTCATGTTGAAGTGATTACATTTAAATTATCCTTTGTGTTAATTGTTTTATGTGATATTTAAATCTAATTAAATTACGTACTTATATCTTTATACTGTAATCAAATACGAACACGTATATAATATTCTGTTTAGTTTTAACTATGTAAAATTGTATTCTTATTTGTTTTGTATTTTCTACACGATTTTTGTCTCTGTGGATTCGCATCGATAACATTGGTTTTGCGATTCTTTCTCTCTAATTTGGTAATAGCTTTTGAGTTCATGTACAATTGTGTGTAATAACTTCCGGTAATAAATGCACAGTTAATGCAAGTCCTGAAATATAATCAATATCTTTATGTCTTCTCTAGTATTGTATATATTATTATGTTGGGTAAAACAATAATCCGAGGGTCAAAAAAAAAAAATCAAGTAGTAAAATAATAAATAAAAAATTTTATTTGTAAATCGTATATTATTCGAAATAATTTTAGTTAAATCATGAAAAACCAATTGTTTGTTTTATAAATACAAAATCAGTTCTATACAGCTACTATTACTAACCCTAATGATGAATTCAGTTGACACATGTTACATTCGCTGTCATCAATACGTAGAAGAAGTGGGTGGGTCGGTCACGACTGAACAAATCGGTCGAGCTACCGAATGATGTACAAAAAATATTCGGTTAACTCGATCTTTTGGTGGTTAGGTTATATTCTATGTCCGTATATTACAATAATCTAAGGCTCTGATTATAATCATGATCTTTAGTATCAATTATCGCGTTTCGCTAAAAAAATACATCATCCACCGACAATATTTGATGATAATTTAAGAATAAAAATGCGATGTCGATAATTTCCTCGTGATATTTCGTTTAAACAAACTATAATTATTATTGCTTGTACTTGGCTCAATCAGTTTGTTGAACAATACGAATTACGATAACGCCCATGAGATCATAATAGTATCGAGGGTAATTGACATGCGTAATTGTACTGAACCATTTTTATAGGTATTTTTTTTTATTTTTTTTTTTAACAGCCGCAGATCTTTTGTTACGTATAAAAAGAGTAAGTCTAATTTTTCAAAAATCCGGTCGGCCATTGTACTCAATATAATAATTGCTTAACGAAATGTTTTCATTTCGCAACGAATTGGACGTGTTCTCGTAGCTGCGACCATTTACGAACATCTATCTACACGCATAGTATTGGCTCAAATATAATTGTTCGTACTGAGGAGATAACGTAATAAAACCGTTTTGGCGCGCGATATTCTTCCACTCGAGTCGTCGGTTATTGACGAGAACACGTATGCCCGGTCCGGTGGTTCTGCGGCGAAAGAACGAAACGCAAAACTTGATGTGCGTACAAGTGAACCTCCTATGCAAAACGAACCCCGCTGCGCGTGTGCATAAATAATTAAAGTTCACGAATGATAATATAATAATACCGATTGATTGTGTCGACGTCGTGATATTATCACGTCGATAACGAACATTTCATAACATCTGTAATAGTATTATCACGATTGCACTTTTCTTTTTCTTTTTTTCAATACAGACGATCCGATAAAGCGTGTGATGAAAACGCAATAATCGTTTTTTTTTTTTTTTATACAAATACCTGTCGCCTGTTGTGTGCAAATAGCAGTTGACTAATTATTATATTGGTTTTTTTTATTTTTATTTGTACACATCTTAAAAACAACTTTGGTAGCAAAGGCCATCTATTATTATTATTATTATTATCATTATCATTATTATTATTATTATTATTATTATTATTATTATTATTATTATTAT